CAGTTCAGTATCACCTTGACAGTGTCAATATCCTTCATCTTCCTGGGATATTTTTGTTTCTGAAGGGAACGAAGAATAACAAAAGAACCACAGGTATTACAAGCAATTGAACTAAATCAGACTAGCAAAAATACACTATTGCCACATTGGCCTAATGGAGAAACAAGCCCTGGCCAGGAATGTGTGACAACAATGTCTAAATCTGAAAGATGGACTGGGATGATATACAGTGAAAGCAACCTTCCCAACTTCTAATGAAACTTACTGCATGTATAGACATATAAACAAATATTCTATATATGAGAGAAATCTGGCTGATTTTCCAGGGCATCCTCAACTCTCTGTAAACCAGGAGGAGAATGACTAAAGTAAGATCCAAAATGAGATACAAGATAGTTCTTTCATCCTATTTTAAATATATGCATACATAAATCAATATGCATGTTTATGTGTCTGGCTCCAATTAATAGGCACCCATCCTGTGCCGCAGGCATCCTGACAAGCATCAGAATTAATAATTTAATACATGGAAGAATGATAATCTTGTGGTTAAGTGATTTGAAAGTTAGTTTCAGTTCTTGGCTCTGCCATAGATTTCCTGTGTGACTGTGGGCAAGTCATTTAATCTCCTTGGCTGACTACCTCAAAGGTACATAGGTACCTGATTCCACCAGTTAGGCGCCACTGATATCTTCAAAAAAACATTGCTCAGCTGTTACTTAAGTCAGTAGCTGTCTAATTTCTGTCAGTAGGCATAAAATGAGAGGTTGCTGACATCATCCCACAAGCTGATGAGCTGCTTAGAGCCCTTGTTCAAGTTCTAACTCCTGGGTCCCCACACCGGGTTTTTCAAATTAGCAGTTTGTCATGACTGGGAAAGCTGGGATTTAGATAAGGTGCGGAGGAGGTGCCTGCCTAGCTAGGGAAAGCAATCATTTTTGGCCAAGGAAAGCACTGCCTTTTCCCAAAGACTTTGACTTCTGGCAGCTCCCTTCTCAGCTGGGAAGCTTTTTCAAATCCATCACTTTCCTGGACCACTAATTCAATCTTGCACATTCAATTAAGTAGCAGGGAATTACAATGTGAGGGAACATTTAGAGAGAAACAGTGGGAAGGCTAAAGGCCATGCAGAGAAGATATGACTTTTCTAAGCCTGCCTAGAGCAACGTACCCACTGAGCCCCATGGGAGGGGGCTCATGGCAGTCTAGCAGAGCCTGACTACTGCATTCCTTCACCCACTGCATTTTCATCATGAAAAGGCAAAAAAAAAAAGGCATCCATTGCCTCCCTTTCGTGTTTCTCTTTGTTCTGTTGACTTTCCAAGATGAAAAGATGACATTCATTACTACTGACACCCTTATGACAACAACGGTCAAGTAAGTGCCCTGTTGAGTCATTCAGAGAGCTACAGCTGTGATCTGAAACTCTCTAGAGCAATTAAAAAAAAAATTGCCCTTGTGACAGACTTGGAGAATGTCTACCAACTAAGTGAAAGGAAGAATCATTTATTCTCCTCTCCATCCCTGGTAATGGGATGAGAACAGTGTGCAGGGCAGCTTGGCACATGCTTGCCCAGAATAGCTGCTCAGAGGCCCCTGCCCATATGTCCAGAGAGACCTGAGGACCTGACCAGCACTGAACAAATCCCAAGGGACTGCATAAAGGTTGTAGTTATAGGGAACTACCCCCACATTTTCCTGCTTTCCCATATTTCTTCTTAGGAAGAGTGATGTTTTTAAACTATTGGGAGTTTTAGACTTTGAGAACTGGATTTAAACAAGTCAGTCCAGTTGTTCAGGTCTTTAGCATACGTGCTAAGCTCAGCTGGCTGTACTTCATTCAGGGAAGGAATAAGAAAAGAGATTTTACAAAACAGAATAGGAGTAAACAGAAAATACAGTGACAAAATGGATTTAGTGGTTTAAGGAATTCTTCCAACTCAGAAGTCACTTATTCTGTTAGTTGATTTAAGATACTGCAAAACAACCGAAGCGGTATAGAAGATAAGATTTTTCCAAACATGCTTTAATGCTTACCATAACAATAAGTGTAACTGCTAAACCTCATGAATCACACATGAGAAAAGTGAAGATCTCCGAGCACATCTTAAAAGCACTGAACTGCAAAGACCAGAAGATTTTGAGCTAGTGAAAGTTGCTCATTGAGGTCAGTGCCCTTGTGGATTTACAGCCGCGCAAAGCTGTCTCCAGTGGTTGTATCTGTGGGAGAGCAGAATGGCCTCAATGAGGAGCAAGCAGGCTCCAGTGCTTAGTTCTTTTCTTGCTGAAGGTACAGATCTCTTTTCTGCTCTTTTGTAGTTTGCCAGGACAGCCACACTCAAGAGGAAGTCTGTTTGCTGCTGCTGTCTGTGAGGAAGAGTTCCCAGGTGGGGGATGTGTACCTCTCCGTGGAAGGCTGTGCCCGTCCTTACCTGTACAAAGAAATGCCAGACCAAGCCTGTCCTCTACCAGTAGGAATAGCAACTGGACACTTCAGTCTTGTCTTGTTCCTTACTTTGCAGTCTTAACCTCTCCCTACCAAGTTGTAGCCAGGGAGGCACAGAAGAATTACACAGCAAATCTCAGCTCTGCCTGGGAGGATGAAGGCTTCCCCCAGCCCTACAGGGCAGGCTTGGGGAGATATTAACTGGGATCAAAACTCCCTTGGCTCTTAGCTAGACTTAGCTGATCTGCAATGAAAGCAGTATGATCTCAATGAAAGTATTGAGTTGGATGCAATTTTAGATAGACCGGGATCTGACCAATGAAATTCCCTAGTGGACATTACTGGAAAGGAAGTTAGTTCAGGGTATCTCTAGTCTTCCATATTACTGAGCAATAGAGCCCTGCTAACTAAATGAAAACTTAAGAACTCCTTTGTGGCTTTTAAAGTTACTCAGTAAGTGACTTTGAGTACGCAGATGGTGATGATATCACTGTAATGAAAAAAAGAAGACAGAAGACACATAAAGACATCACAACATCTAGAAAATAAATATTTTAGAGGGGAAAGCAATTCTTCTATACCTCTGCTGTAGGCATCTTCCAGAAACCATCTTCCCAGCCTGAGACTATAGTTTTATCAATCATTATAATCAGCATCTGTTATGAATGCCTTCAAGCATTACCAAGTTTTGTGATGCCCTTTTGGAGAATTTTTAATGGGTTATATAATGAAAAAATACAAAAATGTGCTTTATTTAATTTCCTTCCTCTTCAGCCAAATTACTACAAAGGTTGTTTTTTCTTTTGTCAGTTAATCTAGTGTACAGGCATTGATTAAGTGAATAGTGAAAATAGGCTTAGCTAAGAAATGAATCTACCTGTAGGTGGAACAATGACCTCAAAATGCAGTTGCAATGGCTCCTGTTATAGCTTTTAGACTATTCTGGATTGGCATGAGAGGTTCTTTTTCTCTTATTTATTGGCACAGAGCAACTATTTTTTATATCGTTCTTTACCTTTTAAAAAAGAGTGTGTAGACATTGTTCTCCACGCTGTGGTGTACAGTCACATAAATATGAAACCCTTTGTGAGCTTAATCATTATTATAGCTAATGATCAGCATTTAGGAATAGTTTATTAACATCTGGAAGTCATCAGCTGCTCATGAGGGGTAATTTTAAAACATCCATTCCAGAAAATTAATTTTTGAGGCTTAATGGACACAAATGTTAGCATCTCTAACTGAAGGGTTTTTTTCAAACTTCGTCATTCTACACATATCACTTCTTTCATAATTTCAAAATGTGAATTACTTTTTAATTTCTAGTTGAACACACACTCAATAAAGGAAATTAATGGGAGATTCCTGTTATAAGTCAAAGGAAATCAAAAAACAAACAGATTTCTTCATACTTCAATGGGTACCTTCACAAGTCCTTGTAATGGTTTTCTATGCGTCCTTAATCAAGTGTACATTTGCATTAGCTAAATTTTGCTTGCAGTTTTATCACAGAGAAACTGAGTAATTACATACTTGGCATTGCTACTAACTCCTTTACCCAACTCTTTTAGCCTGTTAGACAGACACTATTTAAAACTTGAGGGTCTCTGTTATTTGCAGGACAATGCCCTCACCTCTGGACTACAAAAGAGTTCACCTTATAGTTAATAAAACCTATAGAAGTAGAAAGAACTGCTCTGGCACCAAGATATATACATTTGCCAATTTGCTACAGGACAGTTATAGAAATATCTTCAAAATTCCCAAAGATGCAGAAAGGTCAATTATTTCTAAGTATGTGACTAAAAGAAGATGCTAAAAGTCCACTGAAAATAATTTTTTACTTCTTGAAACACTCAGCAACTGAAACATCCACATTTCAACACTGAAATATCAGTGAAGCAAGCCAACCAAAATTACCAAGTTGGCAAAGAGCGATGGGCTTATTTAGAATACGGTAAAAATGCCATGGGATGGTTAGGATGACGAATCAGAAACAAGAAAATAGTTAAAGGGGAGGAGAATCAGAGTGTCAGTTACAATCCAATTGTTAGTCAACAGAAATTTCCTGCATAGTCTCTTAATTGTAATGACTGCTCCCATGGACAGTATATACATGGCTAACCACGCTGTTGTTTAACACAGGCCAGCTTGAAGAGACTGCAAGCCCACCCAGTGTTGGCTAAACTGTATGGAAGAGGACTCAGATCCAAATCTAAAAGTGGTTTCAGAGAGCTGGTACTAATGTTAACAGCTTTTATTCATTTATTTCTCTTAATGCTTACAAAATGTATGAAATACTTATGTGCAATTTGGATTTTTCATGATAAATCCTCTGCTGCCTGCCCTGTTCTATCATTGCAGCTCACAAATAGATCTATGAGGCTCCAGCACAGTATTGTACTCTATCCACTTATTCTAGGCTGAGACATCTCTCCACTGACCTTTTGCAATTCTGCAGTCTTCAGGTCATATCATTCCTTACCAGGTTTGGTAAGAAAAGGAATGAAAACTTTCAGAAGCACTTCTTACTGCTCTCTTATGGTGTACTTACCTTCACCACATAAACAAGTAGTGGACCTGAGGATCACAGACATCAGAAGTCTTTCTTCCTTGCCTGTGGTCACAAGACCAACTATACATTCTCCCAGTCTCTGTGTGGCCACCGCACCTGGGGCTCTCCCTTTCTTGGCTTCTGCCCAGGGCCGGAGCACCCTGTGCCTCCTGGTCTGATATTCCCAGCGGATCCCTGGATCTTTCCCCATCCGCTATGGCCCACAGCACAGAGAAATTCCTCTCTATACTGGGGATGGTGCGCTCCTTTGATCCTTCCTAGTGCAGGTTGGCTCAAGAGAAGAGATGACATCTTCAAAGGAAAGAGAGCTAACACGTTTCCTGAACAGGTCTGCAGAGCGTGCTGGGAGATGGCTATCTTGTTTCTTCGAAGTCTGCTGTTCAGTTAAATCCATAACATGATACCAAAAAAAAAAAATTTAAAAAAAAGCTCAGTAACCAGTCAATCATACAGATTTCATATTTCTTGCAGAGCAATTCTCAATTTGCCACTCTGCATGACTGTTACACGCAATGCATGATAATGACATTTCCTAATATATGCTTTGCTGGATTTCAGAAACATATTCGCCTGGATTTTTAAGGCAAACTGCTAAACCTAGCTATTTTTCCACATTAGTTTCTTCAACATCTTCCAATATTTTCAGGCACTGATATAGGAGTTATCTCTGGTAAAGTCAGGGTGCAGGGATGGCCGTTAGGGTGCAGGGATGACTTTCCCCTGGGCTGGGGCCGGTGTGGGCCAGGGGCTGCCCATGGCCGGGCTGGGCCGGTGCTGAGCACCAGGGCCCGTCAGTCCCCTCAGCCCAAGGGCACCGGGCCCAGGGGCAGCCGGCTGGGGCCAGGGCCGGGGGGAGCTGGGGGAAGGCAGACATAGGGACGGGGATGGGGGCTGGCAGCACCCTTGGGGCAGGCGCAAGCTTGGGAGGTGGCATCTGCGTGGAGCGACTGTGACAGAAATCATAAAAGCAGGCATGTAGGTTCAGGAAGCGCAAGCAATGGGCTTGAGGCGATAGAGCAGGGTATTACTAGGCATATCTATTTTTTTTCCTGCATTTAGGGCTTTACCCTTCCCTTACTAAATACTTGATATTTCCCGAAACTCTAATTCCTCTCCTCAGTCCTTATATCTCTCCGTTGTGGTTATATTCACAAAGAACCCACTTGTGGGATAAAGGCAAGTAGATAGCTTGTCTTTTATATTTATTGCTGGAAAAAGGCAGAGAGTGGTAGCCTGATGTAAAAGAAACGGTTAGGAGGCCACAAATATGGAAATCAGAAACCCTACCACCACCTTCCAGAAATAGACATGAGAAGGGAAATGCTTCAAACACTGATTATGTGTTTGCAGTTTTTAAACGGGATCTTTTAGATGCAAGGTTGTCTATGTAGTTTTTCAAGTGGGCTTTCTCATGAGATTTTGCGTCCTGTATTTACTTGCATTTTTTAGAGGTCATAAATGGAGTTGACTTCCTTCTAGTTTTGATTTTGTAAATTAGTTCTTGGTAGACATCACAGCTTCTGGCATAACGTGAATATTATTGTAGTTTATATGCAATTATTCTCACAGTAGGCTCTAGTTCATTAATTCCGGAGAAGCTAATACTATCAACAACACTTTGATTTTAATGATACCGTGATAAATAATCTTTTTCCTTCTCTGGTTGTTATTTCTCCAGTGACATAATTTGCAATATGAGCTCCTTCACTTTGGTTGCCCTAAGTTTCATCTGTGCTGGGGTGGTATAAACTCAATTACTTTTGAGCAGATATCCCTGAGGATTTTACTTGTGACTTAATAAGGCTCAAATATTTTACTGGTGTTTTCACTAAGTTTTTCAACAGTTCAGGATCTTGCTGCAGAAAACTGTATATTGGCTTCCTTTGGCAACCTATAGGCAGGTTGGCTTCCTCAGCCTCCCTCTATACTTATCGGAGATAGAGACATTCTTCTTGGCAATGATTTGGAGCAAGTACCTAGCCTAGATGTTTCAGTTCAGTTCTCCTTTAAAGGAGCATAGCCCTGATGAACTAAATTACAACAATTAAAAAACATAGCCCATTTGCCTAGTAGTGACTGCAGTCAGATAAGATGCTTGCATTTTCACATAGGTTAGTTTCTGAGTTTCTCTGACAGGAAGAGAAACTCTTTCCTGCAGGGGGATAGTTGACCGCTATCTCCAGAGGAGCTGTCTCATTTTTTGAAAGAAAAGTTCAGCTTGTTTTATTGGCAACTCATATAATGTGGAGTCACCTCCTGAAATACCCAATTTTCTACATGCGGTTCCACAAATGTTAGAATAATGCTGCTCCCACTGGAGCTAGGGAGATGTGACCAGGTCAGTAGCAGTGTCCAGATGGATCCTACCTAACTTCAGACAGGACCGCAGCTCTGCTCTCGGTGGAGAGCAACAGGGATCAGCAGAGGGTGCTCAGGCAATTTCAGGGCCTAATTGCTCTTTGAAGGGTGCCTGGCTGGCTTGCTACTCATAGTACTGGTAGTGGAAGTATCTTAGTTGGGATGGAGTAAAGTTAGCCATGGGGAGTAAATCTTTTGTCAATGAAAATATCCTGCCATCCAAGATGAAGCATTTTTTTTTTAAATCCCTGGTGGGTTCGCTATGCTGTTATGTCAGAATAAATGCAGACTTCCCACATTCTATCAGTTACATTAGGAAATGAGATGAGAAATTTTTTGTTAGTCGCCAGGTAAGGCAAAACAGTTAAATTTATGCTCAATTTTCAGAGTATATGGTTTCAAATACGTTAAGGTATCCCTATTTCTGATGCCAAATTTTTTTAAACCACATATTCTTGATCTTCCAAATCTGATTCAGGGCTTTTGGAAGAAACCTATTCAGTGCTTGACAGAAGTAAAAGTAACCCTGTTTTCACCTCCCCCTTGTATCAGAATTTTCTGGGAAGCTGAGTGTTTGCAAAATCCCTTGCTTGTGCAGCTAGTGCTTCTGCGTCTTTGTTTTGCTTCAGAGGTTGGCCCGAGATGGAATTCTTTGCTAGGAACTTTTTTACTTCTATTGTTTGAGTTTCTATTTCTGTTTTTCTTCCAAGGAAAAAAAGAAAAGGCTCAGTATTTTTGATGTTGGAAATACCCTTCTTAGTTTATGTTAGCCTGAGGGCTAAGAACAGGAGAGAACACTGGCCAAAAGCCATCAGGTTATCACATTCTAGCAAGGATATTCTGGAACAAGTCAGGTAAAAAAATAAACTATGCTAACCAAGTTCATGTCCTGTGTGACCCCATGTTCCTGACAGAATGAAGACTTCTAGCTTGCTCAGTTTATTGATTAAAAAAAGATCAAGTCAGAGATTATGCTGCTTCTATAAAAACCATATTTTCCTACATCCAGAAATGAATAAATCCCAAAGAGGGTTATTGTACCATACACAAACACACAGTTACGAAAAGTGACATTTTTTTTCTATTTTCTAGGTCGTTTGTATTAGCATATGTTTGGCTCAGTCTTGAGAGTTTGAATTATTGATTTCACTCTTGCTTAGATAGGAGTACTTTTCCCTCTTCTTTCCTGTACTACTGTCTAAATCCTCAGATTTGTAATATTAGAGAAAAATCAGTGCCCTAAGTTAATGATAGAAAACTGTGCTGAGTGGGACACACTGGAATAACCTTGCATGACTTTTCTTGGCTCTGGGAGAACAGAGTTTAAGCTATCTATTTAAAAATTGCCACAAAGACTGCAGAGCTCATCTCTGGATCTTTTACCTAGGGTCTTTTTTTTTTGGTAGATTCTGTTACAACCCCAGTGCATGTTTTTATGTGCTTGCACAAGGCTCACACACACACACAGATGCACACACACATGCGTGCACACACACACACACACTCTGTAAATCCTTTTGTATCATTCCACCATCTTCTGTTAACTGGAGACCAAATCAGGGACTGATGTTGTCTAAAATGTCTTGGACTTCGATGTCAAAGGACACATCATCTCGGCTTCAGGACAACTATCCTTTAACATTAGTAATATCATGCTGTCGTTTCAGTTCCAGGTTAGACTGGCTCTCGTGGAAAAACTTTGCAGTAAGGGCTTTTCAAGGCCTCCTTTTAGAAAGTCAGTGTCTGTAGGAGCATTTGCTGGCCTGTTGAAAGGTTTAGGAGGGAGCCGAGGGCTCACAGCACCTTATTATCAGCCCTCAGTCACTGACCAGAGCCATTCCAGCTTCATTTTCATTGACAGGTTACACCCGCTTTATCAGCTGAAGTGCCAGCTTATTACAGCAAATTATCTTTCCTCTCAGTAAAATGCAGGATATTCACTATAGGAAGCAAACTGACAAGTCAAGGACCTGCAGTAATATTGCGATGCTCAGACAAGGAAGGTAGAGATGTCATTTTTCATGGCAAATTGGCTGCTTTCTGACAGTTCTTTGAGCGACAGGTCAATCCATGGAGAGTCTGTCACACATTAGCGAACACTGCCAGAACATAGTTAAGTAAAGATTCGTAATTAAATGCTTTGGGGTGCAGTCATACAGGAGTTCTGATTGAAGCATACGCCTCAGCATTTATAGCTAAAAACTTCCTGCACTGATCAAAACAGCAGAAAACTATACACGCTTTCACGAATAGTATTGCTTAAATGTGGACACACAAGACAAATGATAGCAGTTTAATTACTAGTTGTAAGAGCTGGATCAGCAAAAATCTTGTCACACAGAGCTTTGCCAAACAGCCCTGTATACATCCCCTGTACCTCTTTGAAATTATACCCTGTTAAGTATATTTGCAACCTGCACATTAATATGGTGACATAGTTAGGATGTGAAAGGAATTCAGTCATGTACCAATCTTTGCTCCTCTGCTAAGCCTGGATTTTGCTCTTTCTATAAAAGGCCCACGCTAAAGGCAGTTCTCTGAAAGCACTAACCGAAATGAGAGTACACATTCAGCAAACTGTGATGACAGTCTACTTCTTGGAGAGAATGCAGAGTCAGGGTACCTGGCTGAATAACAGACCTGTTTACCTTTTGCCTTCTGGGTCTTTCATATGTTTCCTTGGCTGCATCATAGGAAGATAAGCTCAACCACTTTTGAAAGAATATTAGTGGCTTTAGTAGAATTGCAAATACAAGTAATCAGGATGAGTAATTAATAGAAACTGAGCTTTTACAGAACCTAAACTAACCCTGTTTACCAACAATCTTGAAT